AAAGGCGGCTACCTTTGGTGATGAGGAATCCGGAGAGCAGGAAGAGCAGCACGAGGATGAAGTTGCCGAGGGTGTTGATGAGCGTGGTGCTGCGGAAGATGGCTCCCATGGTGCGGTAGAGGGATGAGGCAGACATATGGATCATGAAGAAGAGAAGAAGTTGGGCGATGAAGCTGCGAGGGGGTGGCAAAGAAGAAGTGAGAGGAAAGAAGCAGGAATAAGTCCCATCAAGACTCAAGAGATGGCTCCCACACCATGATAGAGAGCTGAGGCGGCCGTGTGGGTGGTGAAGACGAGCAGCAGCTGGGTGAGGAAGGGAGGGGAGGAGGAGGGGAGAGGGGAAGGGGAAGGGAAGGGATAAGGAGAAAGGTGGGGGAGAAACACCACGAGAACATGCAACACGAGAAAGGCCCACAACAATCCGGAGTCAGGACCCAACACAAGGAACCATACGGGGTGAAATTTGTGGTGAATCCAGTTCCATAGGAGGTGATGGCCCTCCAGACTCCAGCAGACCAGAGGGAGAGAGACACTGAGAGCAGAGCCACACCAGGATTGGGACCGGGCTCAGGTTAGGTCCAGGCATGGCATGCACCAATGCAATAGCAGGGCACACCGCGGGAACGCTTGAAGAAAGCTTACCGGGAGAATTCTGGGGCGAACCCGATGCCATAGTAGGTGATAGCCGTCCAGACTACAGCAGACCAGAGGGAGACGGGCACCGAGAGCAGCGCCATGGGCACACACCAGGCCCAGGTGGGGAAGAGGAGGTTGTCCCTTTGCAGGAAGAACATGGGCAGGCGGGCTGTGAGCAGGGTGAGCTCGATGATGCCACTGAAGAGCATGGTGCTGATGCCGAAGAAGATGGCTCCCAGGTAGAAGTTGCCGTCCAGGGGGTTCACTGCGAACTGCGAGCGCCAGAAGACCGTCATTGTGACTATAGCGAGGGGGAGGATCTGCCAGAAAGATGGGAGAAGAGGAAGAGAGGGGGAGGGGGAGGGGGGGGGGGGAGTAGGGAAGAGAGGAGAACGGGCATGGCGAGTGGGAGGGGAGAGAAGATGAGGCGAAAACTTTTACTGCCAATCAAAGTCCGGCTGCTACCTGTATGGCCTGCACTATGCAGAGGAACAGCTTGTGGCTCGTCAGCAGCCACTTGCACGTAGACACTATGACGAACGTGCCGACGGTCTGTAACCAGTGTTTAGAAGGCCATTGTGATTGCAATGAGCATCTTTAAGGTCAACGTGATCATGTAGCGAGCATCCATACCTGCATGGTCTGCACGATGTAGAGGAACAGGTTGCGCCTCATGAGCAGCCATTCGCGGTCCGCCACAATGGCGAGCGTTGCGAGGGGCGGAAGCACAAACTGCCTTTCAGACAGAGCAAGAGAAGCTCCCACATCCCCTCCCTTATACTCTCCCTCCTCTTCGTTATCCGCGCCCCTAACCACATCCCCATCTGCAGCCTTATTCTTCTTGTATGGGACTGAGAGCTCTGCTTCGGTCTGCTTGCCAAACCTGGAGGCTTGGAAGGCCTCCTCGAAGGCTCGGACGGACACGTAGTGGTACGGGTGGGGCTGGGAGGAAATCCAGTACTGCTTCTGGTCTTTTAACGAGGTGACCTGTAGGAGGGGCGGGGTGAAGCAGAGGAAGGAACCAAGGCAAAAAAAATGTAACAAAAGTAGATGATCAACACAACGGCATATTGCAGAAAATCGGAATCAAGAACTAGGCAAGTGAAATCACCTTTCTAATATTCTGATGGATTGCAGTCACATATAGGCTATGACCACAGCAAACAGGGCAAGAAATCAAATATTTTCGTGCTTCGACGCGCACGGCAAACACACCTCTTGGAGAAAATCAGCCGCCCCTTTCAGCCGGAGAGAATATCCTTCACCTCTTGCCTCACAGGGGAACGGCTGACATACCCCTTAACTTCTTGCTTTTGAGTCCACTCAACGTAGAGGCACCATGCAAAACACACCTCTTGCAGGAAATCAGCAACTCCTTTGCGGGTCGGCGGCGCAAAACCCATTTCCCAGAAGAACCCCAACACCTCCTCCCGTGGCCCGTGGTACACAATATGGCCCTCTGATATCAGCATGACGTCATCAAACAGCTCGAAGGTTTCTGGCGCTGGCTGCAGCAGTGCGATGAGAGTTGTGGTATTAGCTAAGTGCGTGAGGTTGCGCAGGCAGCGGGTGATCTGGTAAGTGGTGGCAGAATCGAGTCCAGTGGAGATCTCGTCCAACAGCAAGACCTGTTTTGCCCCTAAGAGTGCTTCCGCGGTGGTGACTCGCTTCTTCTGGCCTCCTGACACTCCCCGTCGCATGCTGTCCCCCACCATGGTATCAGCACACACGTCCAAGCCCAGCATCTGCAGGACAGGTGGGAGAGGGTGACAAAGGGCAAACAGGGACTCTGACTCGCTTTGCTCCTTCTGCCCCCGTGATAATCCCTTCTCTAAGCGTGCTGTCCCCTACCATGGTATCAGCACACGCATACAAGCCCAGCATCAGGGGTAGGAGGGATACAGTGACTTCTGAGTCGACTCAAAAGGGTTACATTGGTGGAGGGTAATAGCGTGAAATTTTACAACGACGGGGTGTAACAAGCAAGGAGGGGAGAAGATAAGTATGGCAGAGGAGAAATTTTGGGAAAAGAGACAGGCAGGAAGGAGAATCGTGGCAAAAGGCATCACTTCACGCACACACCCACATCCACATGCGCACAGACCTTAAGGACGTACTGAACCACCACATCTGAGCATTGCTTCTCATCCGCCATTGCCTGGACAGAGCAGTAACAGTGCAACAACATGCAGCAATACCAGGGGGGTAAGGGGAAGTGAGGGGGGGTGAGAAGGAGGGGGGCGGAGGGTGGGAGGCTGCTTTGAGCCAGCTCAAAATCGTGTTGAACCACCACATCTGAGCAGTGCTCCTCATCTGCCATGGCATGCATAGAACAGAGATGATGCAGCAACCAAGGAGGGGGAAAGATGTGGTGTTTGATCTCCATCCTTGGAGCGAGAGCATAAACAAGGTACCAAGGCATCTCCCAGGTTTTATACGTGCAGAGGCATCGCCCAAGGGTTTACATGTACACCTGTTCCCCTTTTTTGTCCCACCCGGAAAACTCCACATTTTAAACCCACCTACCAGGCTCTCAGCAGGACTCGCGTTGACACTGAACCTGACTGGCTGCAATCTGAACGATAGCGAACAGTCGGATTTCGACAATCGCGAGTTTCAGATCTGGGACGTCGCGCAGGAATCTTCGCTAGTGCATGAGTGAGAATATGTAACCAAGTGACAGTGTGTGCTGTGGGTTTTCCCCTTCAATGTCCTCGTTGCCCGGGTTTGACCGTTTCCTGCTTACAGGCTCGAGCCACGTGCAAAGATCGTGGGACTAAATAGGAGAAAAGGTGTAAAGAGGCATCTCCTAGAGACATCTCAAATGTCACGGTCATGGGGAGTGCGAACCCATGTGAGTGACTAAGGGCCATAGTGCCCCCAACCTTGTGATTATGACCCCCATGACGTCATCATTACCCTCATAACGGCCTGCATGGCGTCATCTGGCTTGACTCCCGCCCGCCTCTCCTTTTCCTCCAGTTGCCGAAATAGCTCTGAGCAGGGGGTTCAGAGTGAGGGGCAACATGAGTGAGGGTCAGAATGGTTGCAGGCAAAAAGGCTTGGGTGCAGAATGACGAGACGGGGAACAGGAGATTGGGGCATTTGAGAAGGCAAGGTACCACCAGCAAGGGAGGGATGGATGGGGTGAGGCAAATGGAAAGAGGACAGGACGGCACTCGGGTGGCCCAGTGTCCAGCACTCAACACAAGCACAAAGAGTCGGGCAGGGGAGAGAGCTGGTAAACGGAAAGCAGTGGCACCTATCCAAACCAACTCAATGGATCACAACATAATCATTTTCCACCTGCCCTGTGGCCGGGACCCTGTAGCCGAGCAGAGAACTCGAGTGTCTCCCTGACGGTCATCTCTCCAATGTGGCTGTCCGTCTGGGCCACAAACCCCACCGACCGCGCCACCACAAAATCCGTCCCCTGCCGCCCGTTGTACATGACCTCGCCCTGCACCTTCAGCCCCGTCTCTGCCTTCCCTGCCAGGGTCTTCAGGAGAGTTGACTTGCCACTCCCAGGAGGGCCCAGCAGCAGCGTCATTCTGCTAAGGGGTTTGAAGGGGGACGTGTTGAATTGACCCATGACCACCTCGTCCCCACACTCAGCTCCCTCGCTGACTTTTCCGCAAGGACCTCGAGAAGTGTTGAGTACGTGCTTGTTTTAAGAATGCCAGAGCAGCCATCAAGGGTGAGGTTGTAAACTATCCGCAGCACCGCTGCTGTGTGGGGCCGGCCCCAGCATAGCTAGTCAGCAGATTGGATAGCGTGGGCAGGCCTCGTAGCCCCTTGAGGCACAGAGAGAGGAATAGAGAAATGGGTGAGCAGAGCCACTGACCTGCCGGGTTTGAGGATGCCAGAGCAGCCATCTAGAGCAAGGAACAGCTGGCGGCGGTCCTTGACTATCCGCAGCGCTCTCAGCAGACCCATGAGATGGTTGGTCAGCAGATTGGGCAGTGTGGGCAGGCCTCTTTTCCCCACTTGCACCTGAGCTGATGCACTCACCCCCTCAAACCGGACCTCCACTCCGGGGAAAGCAATGCCAACGCTGGAGGAATGGGGGGAAAGCAGGGGGTGGAAGAGAGAGAGAGAGAGAGAGAGAGAGAGAGAGAGAGAGAGAGAGAGAGAGAGAGAGAGAGAGAGAGAGAGAGAGAGAGAGAGAGAGAGATAGAGAGAGAGAGAGAGAGAGGGGGGGGGGGGGGGGGGGGGGGGGGGGAGGGGGGGGAGGAGGGGTGGGGGGGGTGGGAGAAAGTAAGGAGCATGCTGGCACTTTGCCAACGAAATGTGAAGCATCTCTTCCCCTCTTGCACCTGCTCACGCCCTCAAAGAAACGCCGACACATGCACCGACGTTGGCAGGGATGAGGAGTTGGGGTAGGAAATGGGGAGAATAACTTCTTTCAGGGCAGAAACTGCCACGAGAAGGTTCACCTGTCCAGTCGTCGCCGCATTTTCTCCAGGAATCTCTCATTGTCCATCTCACCACCCTCCATCGCCTCCTCCACCAATCGCTGCCATGCCTCGTGCGGCTTCTCCCCATCCCTCGTCTTCGTCCTCTTGTCTTTAAACACTTCTTCGTTGGTACTTCCCCCCTCCGTTGCCCTTTCACCAGTTCCTTTTGAACAAGCGCCATCGGCCAAACGGTTTTCGTCTTCTCCGCCGCCGGCGTCTGTCGGAGTTGACTTCTTGCTGTCATCCCGCGGCGCCACGTCGACTCTCACATCCGATCCGCGAAAATCCACGCCCTTCTTGCCGCTGTGTTTCCCTTCCCCCATTTCCTGCGCGCTGTTCCCTGTGGAAATTTTTTTTTTTGGTACCTCAGGATAGTTTTTTCTTGAACTTCAGGACATAAAAAAATAAAAATAAAAATCCAGAAACCAGCAATAATGCCAACGCTTATACTAATAAGTGCTTCTGCTGGCCAACGTTTTTTTTACCAGGTGAACTGAAATTCCTCGTGCTTGGTCAAGTACTGGTGAGATCCTAGCTTGGAAAAAGGCACACGAGACTGACTGGACTAGACGGCTTTCCCTACGCGGCCGTTAGAAACCATCGACATGGGTCTCCCTCCTGGAGGAGGGGAAATGATAGAAAGGGTCCTCCCTTCGCTAGAGGCTTGAGCAAAAAAAGCCCGGCAGCTTTTTGCCCCGAGCCCTCGTCTCGGAGCGTGTGCTACACCTTATTCGTCATACAATACGCACACATCACAGGGTCACAAATTTGCAGGTTGATGGGGACCAACAAAATACTGTACAAATTCAATGTACTGTACATTCTCTATACTGTAGTACTGTACTGTGTTGGGGCACAAACAAAATACTGTACTAAAACCCAGAGGGGCACCGCATGCGACTCGGGGTGTCATCAAACCATCAAGGGCCGCGTGATTAGGGTTGATGCCATCCGGAACGGAATTCGGTCCCCTATGGGTTTTAGTTTGTTTTGCCCGTTGAGAAATAATGAGTGGTACCACAAACGTCCCGTAAATGTTTAAGGTACTAAAAAAAATGTGTACTTTAGGTTCAGAGGCGAGGTCCCTGGAGCAGTAATTAGCCAGACCGTTTTTGCTCACGCCTCTGGCAAAGCGAGGACCCTTTTTTATCATTTCCCCAGTTGGTCAGAAGAGCCACGGCTATCTGTACCTGGCTGGGTGGGCAGTGGGGTCAGTCAGAAGGCTGACGAGGCGACTGCCCAGTGGCGTTGACCATACAGTCGCTGGTTGGTTACGTATACTGTAACGTTGACATTTGAAGTCCAACTCCGATAGGTTCGAATACTGGAGCGTATGCAGGGTGGGGCTGGATTAAGCAAAAGGTGGTTTCGGACATTTCTCAACAACCAAACCGTTCTCTTGGTGCTCCCGGGCAAACTCCCTTGTATTCAGCAAGGGTTCTGTTGGAAACATTCTCTACACCCTGACATTCGATGGTGTCCTTCGATTGGTGTCATTGGATTAGTTGCCACAAAAAAAAAAAAAAAAAAAAAAACGTATATTGGCTCTACTTTTTAGAACTCGCTTACACCAGTTTCAGAGTTCAGTTCAGTCCATTGAATTGCCCCCATTATTTTCTCCAATAATTACACCAAAACTGGGAACAGCGTCGAGCGGGGGTTGACCGAATTGGACGAGGTCGCGTTGCAACACAAGGCGCTCAGAGAGGGGTCGAATCGGCAGATTGCGCGCAGCGCATCTAAGCGCGGTAACCCATCTCTCACAAACCACCAAGCTTGGTCCAAGATTTGTGCTGCACGGGTATTTACCTGGACTTTACGCGTCATGAGGTGGGGGGTAGTATATGCCGGAATATAACGGAGTATTAAGTAACCGAATCTCTGAAGGTGGTCCTTGGGTCCTTCAAATTGAATATGGAAAGGCGGTATTTCTTCTTGCACTGATGTGATCAGAGCGCCACCCCGAACAAAAAGGGATATGCTGAAATTTGACTCAAACACCCCAATTGCTGACGAGATACATTCACTGTAGCCAGAAAGTGTGGCTCGTTCCGTCTGTGAGATGTCGCTCTCACATGGTCGGAAATTCCCCACGACTTGCATGTGCCGCTGTGATTGCTGCATTCAACTGGCTGCAGCTTCCGAAGCGCGCACCGTATGCTCGGCTCAACGCCGCGCTGGCGGCTACAGTGCAGTACACCTGTTCCAAGACATGGTCTTCAGACAAACAGTCCAAATTGCAATTCTCGCCTGAACTTGTCGCCCATAGAGTCCCAATTGCAATTCTCGCATGTTCGTGTACCCCTAAGTTCAGACCCAGAAACCAGGTACCAATCTGAACCGCATTGATCCCTGAAGTCAGGCCGAAATGTTCAACATTTTACCAGGGAGTTACTGTGCATTTTCCGGTCTAATGTTACGTTTGCCCGTGGTTTGAAATTTCCGAAAATAGGCCCAGTCCGCATAAACAACTCTTCTTTTTTAGCATCAAACAGGTGTATTACCACAACAACCCAACGAATGTTGACTGTTGGCCAGCTGATTTTGGCCAGGTGTACACATGGCCCGCGGAAATTTGAACGCCTGGAAATGGATGGCAACGCTTTGGATTTATTGGGCTGGTTGATAATTCATGGGAATATGATTTCCTCAGTATTTCCACATAGCTAATCCGCTGGACCAAGAAGGCGCGTCACCTAAGCCTAAAAATAACAAGACTGAACTCAATATTTGGATGTGTTGCGTGTATCAATCCTTGTTTTTTCACATATTGAAAAAAGGTATATTTTTTCCCCTCCTTTTTCTTTTCACTTTTTATGGTTTGTAGGGCAATCTATTGCAAATGATAAGAATTTATTTTCACCCTAATTTATAATCTAAAAATGTAATTCCGTAAGAATCGTAGTATATACCGAATAAATATATATAAATATACACAAGAGGTGTCATATTATAGCTTCTTATTTTGTAGGTCTAGATAGAAATAACATTTTTTACTTTGTTGCATGTATAAAACCTTGGTAAAAAAATCAATATATATTTGTCTTCCATCACTCTATATTTCTTTAGATGTCAAAGAAAGATGGTTTCCCTAGTGCTAGCATAGGGGGGGGGAGAGACAACGCCAAAAAGGCAATACAATTTGTGAATCACATAATTAGTATTTTCTAATAATTTCCAATTCAAATGAATGTATTCACGGAGTGTATCAAGAATCGTATATAAAATGATAACCGCAATCCATTTTTTAATGAGCACAAAAAGTATTACTTGTCGGTATCCATGCATTAGAGATAAGGACGACTGCATATAGCAAGCCAATATAATCATAAAACGATTCAAAGCAGTAAAACAGAAATGTAAAAAGAAGGGAGAATAGTCACGTACAGATTCGTAACCCACAAAGGTGCAATTACACATCTTCAACAAGCATTTCAAACCCTGCAGTCAGAGTACCAAGGAATGGAGAAGAGAAAACTGAAACGGGGGGAAGAAGAAAGGGACGATATGCTGAGGTAAAAAAAAAAAAAAAAAAAAAAAACATGAGACTTGGAGGTTGAGAGAGAGAGAGAGAGAGAGAGAGAGAGAGAGAGAGAGAGAGAGAGAGAGAGAGAGAGAGAGAGAGAGAGAGAGAGAGAGAGAGAGAGAGAGGAAGAGAGAGAGAGAGAGAGAGAGAGAGAGAGAGAGAGAGAGAGAGAGAGAGAGAGAGAGAGAGAGAGAGAGAGAGAGAGAGCGAGAAAGAGTGTGTGTGAGAGAGAGAGAGAGAGAGAGAGAGAGAGAGAGAGAGAGAGAGAGAGAGAGAGAGAGAGAGAGAGAGAGAGAGAGAGAGGAAGAGAGAGAGAGAGAGAGAGAGAGAGAGAGAGAGAGAGAGAGAGAGAGAGAGAGAGAGAGAGAGAGAGAGAGAGAGAGAGAGAGAGAGAGAGAGAGCGAGAAAGAGTGTGTGTGTGTGAGAGAGAGAGAGAGAGAGAGAGAGAGAGAGAGAGAGAGAGAGAGAGAGAGAGAGAGAGAGAAAGATAAAAGAGAGAGAAAAGAGAGAGAAAGAGAGAGAGAGAGAGAGAGAGAGAGAGAGAGAGAGAGAGAGAGAGAGAGAGAGAGAGAGAGAGAGAGAGAGAGAGAGAGAGAGAGAGAGAGAGAGAGAGAGAGTTAGTGAAAGAGAGTAAGATGAGATACAAAACGAAAATGAAGATGGCACAAGGATTGAATGGAACAGTCAAAGGAGAAGAATGAAAAACTGAAAATAAAGAAGGCGGCGTAAGGGAGGTGAATGGAGGGAAGGAAAGGGATTGAAGATGGTCTTCAATATGCAAACTGAGGATCCAAATATGGAGGGAGAGAGAAGTAAGAACTTAATGCAGAGGAAGGGGACGACTTGGAGCATAGACGAGGAAAAGCATATGAGAATCCGTACCGAGTATCTAGCAGAAAGATTCCATTTACGTTTCCCCTACTAGCTTGAGAAAAAAAACGAGAGAAGAAACTTAGAGAAACTAGTAAGATACGACTGCACGGAAAAATCATTAAGCCACTATTTATACCGATCTGGAGTACTCTATCGTGCAGCTGCACTAAAAAAGGCTATAGTAACTGATGCCACATTGTTGCCTAATCACTAGATCTACAATCACCAACTGCTGGAAGTGGGGAACAGATAAACGTAAGGCTAGAGTATGAAGGAGGAAGAAAAGAGCATAAGGGCGTGTCACCAAAAAATGTTTACCCGCTTTTGACAGGCAAGGTCGTTTGACGGTAAGCAATGTAAATCAATTTTGAATCAGATCCCGATTTGGGAGCAGGTACGAAATGAAAAATGCAGTTCGAAAGGACAGCATCGAGACCAGCACAGCCATGGGAGCGGGTAACTAGGTCCCAACCTGCAAAACCAGCACGATGCGCGTGGGAAAAATGAGGACCAATCGGCGCAGCGGGGGTAGGCTCTTCTCTAGCGACGTGCGAGACTGCAAAGTGTCGCTTGAGAATTTCGCTAGAAGTACTGGTGGTACTGGTTGGCAAGCTGGATTTTTGTGTGGTCTTTTTTTTTTTTTTTTTTTTTCGTGCATAGGTACCTGGAAACGTGCGCTGGTGTCCGCTGATTTCGAGTATGAGCTGGGCGCGTCTTGTTCGGGCATGTGTTATGGTTATACACCTAAATGTGGTAACTGAACTCGGTGTTGAACATGGCACGTACTTTAGTGACACGCCCTAAGGCAGCCAAGTTTCTGCAGCTCTGAACCTTCTGTTCAAACAGCCGCGGTTTTGCAGCTCTGTAAGGATCTTTTTCTCGGTTAGAAAGTGCCCCATCGCACTGAAACTCGAGAAATAGTGTAATTACGCAATTCGAGTGTGTAACGCGTAATGCATCCAGTGCCGAGCTCGCGGGTTTTGCCTCTTATTGACGGGAAATTTTTCAGCTTACTGTGGCGAGTGTAGCCAGGCTGGTGTCATTGCCACGTCGGATTTTATTTCCGTCTGGCAGTTTCCCGTGACGAGCCTCGCCACTGGGCAAAAAGCACCGTTGCCAGGTGGCCAGAAACGCTCGCCACAAGTCAACAGTGGCCACAGTAAACACATAATCAAACAAAATATATACGGAAACTCCCGATGGCTGGGCATTTGGCGGAACGGCGAAAAAACAATCTATAACGCACACAAAACAGAAGACACATTACGGAAACTGGGCTACCGTGGAACAATAAGGAACAAAACAGTTGAAGAAAAACTGTACAAGCAGAAACGAATAACAGAAGAAACCAATTTTGACAGCGTGGCACGATTTTAGAACAGTTATTGAAGCCGATTCACTTAAAGCCCAGAATTATGTAATATATGTATATATATACACAATTATAAAGTCAGTCTTATGTCCAAATTGTATTAGATGGATTAACATTGTAATTGCATGTCCTATTATTTATGCACTATGATAAAAATTGTCTACTGAATAGTTACATAATATATGTTTTAATACATTGTTATATGTTATCAGATACTTACGCTATGAAGTTCTATAACAAGCTTAAGCGTGTAAATTTATAAGGAATTAATGCATATATATGTAAAAAAAGCTCCGTAGCCCTAAGAAGATTGTGTCGTCTCTTGTTTTCTTTTCATTCGTTATTCAAATACTAGAAGATAAGTGACTTGGTGGACATGTTTAAAAATTGCAACATTTTTTTCATAGCAATACTTCAATGCATTATATAATAAAAGTACTTGTGTATTGTTATATTGGGGCTAGTAACTTTGCTGACCTATAATTGGTTAGCTTTAAGGGGAAGAGCAAATACACTCCTGCTAGGGTTTGTTGGTGACCCTAGCAACAGCGTCTCGTTCTTGTTTCTACGCATCCCTCCTTCGTTGCACCTCGTTCTCCGCTCTTTCCCCGTGCCTGGTTCTTGCTCGTACTCATTAGTCCTCATTACCTAATCCTTGCTCACACTTAGTTCCTTGCCCATAATACCTAGTCCGAGCTCAAATATAATTCATACTCCTGACCACGCCTATCTGCCACCTAGGCCAAACTAGTTGCCTTCGGTTTCATGTTGATGGCACCGAGCCCGTAAACCCGCAGGCACTCCAAAGCCTTGCGCGCCGGCGCGTTTCGCGCATGCGCATTCCGCGTTGGCTCCTTGCGCGCTGGCGCGTTTCGCGTTGGCGCCTTGAATGCTGGCGCCCTGAGCGCTGGCGCGAATTGCGCGCTAGTGCCATGAATATGGCACCATGCGTGTGTGTGTCATCAGATTCGTTTTAGGCCACGCTAATTGATCAGTGTCGATCTCAAAAAACACCATAAAAATCAGTTTTTTTTGTAGTGGTTGTCTTACTGGTTGGCCCTGGTTCTTTCGTTTTCAAGGTTGATTCATCAGGGTCGGTACAATAGAACACCCTGAAAAAAAAACAAAATCTGCATAAAAAGCCTGATAACTATGGGCCTGACGCACATGCTGTTGGCGCACTTGCTATTGTCGCACTTGCTGTTGGCGCATTTGCCTTTGGCGCACTTGCCTTTGGCGCACTTGCCTTTGGCGCACTTGCTGTCGGCGCACTTGCTGTTGGCGCACTTGCTGTTGGCGCACTTGCTGTTGGCGCATTTGCCTTTGGCGCACTTGCCTTTGGCGCACTTGCTGTTGGCGCACTTGCCTTTGGCGCATTTGCTGTTGGCGCACTTGCTTTTGTTCGTTAGTGTACCATCAGCTCGCGAATTTATTGTTTGCTAGCATCGTCCCCTTTGCACCAAGGGTGTTCGCACCATTCACCTCCCACTATCCCTCTCTAGTCTTTCGTTCTACGCTCTTTCCTTCCGTTTCTCCTCGCCGCCTTTCCTTCTCTTTTCCCTAAGTTTCGCTTTCAATTTTTTTTTATTTTTTTTTTCTCTCCCTGCTATGCACCTTGCTTTGTGTCCTCTTCTACACAGCCAGTCCTCTCGATTGGGCTCATTTGATTTCATTAGCTTTCGGACATTTCATTGGCATCAAGCCACAACTGTCCGCCCACTTACCAGTCGAGCTCGCATCCTTCTAACTGTGATCTCTCACCCTCCTCCACTCGCCACCTGCAACCCTTTCTGCCGTTTCCTCTGCAGATCTCTTGCTCGTCGCTTTTGTTTAGCCACGTGTTTCTGCCCTAACAAATGCCTTTCATTGTGAGGAATAGGAGGTTTTTGTTGTTTCTATGCAGCGGCTGCTGCTGCTAGGGTGGTGGTGGTGCTCATGCTGTTGCTTCTGCGTGCTAGGTTGTTGGTGCTGCATCTTGCTAGGTTGCAGTTGTTGCCTAGCCTACTGCTAAATTGCTGTCACTCTTGCTGGTGCTAAGGTGCTCTGCTGCTGGCAACATTCCTTCAATTTCTTTATATATGTTCTGGCCCTTTCATCCAGTTTACATACGGATAACGACGAGAAATATCAATTATCAATTTGAAGGAAAGGGGGAGCGCGTAAACGAAGGGAGCGAGGAATGGATGGGCCGGCGTTAAGTGTGGGGGAAAGGAATTGGGTAAGGGCTAGAGAAGGGTTGGGATGGGCTGGGGGAAGGGGACGAGATGAAGGTGAAGGGGGAACGAGGGGTGAGGCGTGAGAGGAGGGGGGGGGGGGGGGGGGGGGGGGGGGTTGGCGAGGTTCCTACATTGGGCATCAATAATTGATAAGCAGCTGATCGTGTTTTAGCTTTTTGTGTATGCCATGCATTATCTCTGGATCTGCTCTACATGCGTTTGACCCCATGGCGTGCTTGTCGTTTCGTTGATTATGGTTCATGCATGGTAAACTGTTCTATCTTGAGTGTGTGAATGCGTCTGTTGTGCATGCGTACAGTATTGTACTTCTGTTGTTCCCATGCCGTTGTCCGCACATTGTAATGTTGGGGCGTGCATCGGTGTAATACATATATGCTACATGCGTAACATAATCTGAGATTGCTTAACGGTTGGGGAAAGCTTCTCTGACCGTTCATGACATTCTCAATTGCAATGTATAGATGCATTCGTGTATTGCTCTCAATATACGCTTGTTGTGCAAACTGTTGCAAGTGTCTTGATCATGTGCTGTCTTATACATGTTTTTGTGGATGATGATGGGAATCGTCAGTGTTGTCCACTGTTCCGTCGTATTCATCGACGAAGAACGGTGGGCAAAATTGTTGCTTCTCATTTCAACCATGATTATCTTGTGTGCAAGTGCCAGCGTCCAAGTTGTTGTGCACGTTATCGTGGATGATGATGGGAATCGTCAGTGGTGTCCACCGTTCCGCCGTATTCATCGACGATGAACGGTGGGCAACATTGGTGCTTTTCATGTCAACCATGATTATCTCGTATGCAAGTGCAAGCGGCCAAGTTGTTGTGCACGTTATTGTGGATGATGATGGGAATCGTCAGTGGTGTCCACCGTTCCGCCGTATTCATCGACGATGAACGGTGGGCAATATCGGTGCTTCTCATTTCACCCATGATTATAGTATCTCGTGTGCAAGTGCAACTACAAATGTCCAAGTTGTTGTGCATGTTTTCGTGGATGATGATGTGGATTGTCAGTGTTGTCCACCGTTCAACCGTATTCATCGACGATGAACGGTGGGCAACATTGGTGCTTCTCATCTACCCATGATTATCTCGTGTGCAAGTGCAAGTGCATGTGTAAAGTTGTTGTGCATGTTATTGTTTTGTGCATAATTTTGTGG